GAAGTGGATTGTCCCAATAATATTTACCTAGAAAAGTGATCATCCACATTTTCTTTTTTTTAACATTCTTTTTTCTCTCACTCTTTTTTTTTTTGGTTGTCAGTATTTTTTTTATTGGTTGTTCACAACATTACAAAGCTCTTGACATATCATATTTCATACATTAGATTGAAGTAGGTTATGAACTCCCAATTTTAATCCAAATGCAGATTGCAGAATCACGTAGGTTACACATGTAAAATTGTGGATGTGTAACCGAAATGATTCTGAGTTCACTCTTAGATGATATAAAAATTAAAGAAATCCCAGTGGCTTGGGACGCTGAGGCAGGAGGATCATGTGTTCAAAGCCAGCTTCAGCAAAAGGAGAGCTAAACAACTCAGTGAGACCCTGTCTCTAAATAATATACAAAATGGGGCTGGGGATGTGGCTCAGTGATCGAATGCCCCTGAGTTCAATTCCTGCTTACCTTACACACACAAAAGAAAGAAGAGGAGGAGGAGGAGGAGGGGAAGGGGGAGAGGAGGAGGAGAGCCATTCAGAAATAGCTTACCCAAATCAGTGGGAGATTGATTGCTTTGGCATTCATCTGTAATGGAGTGTGGCTCCCTTTAGTTCTACTCAAAAACAGGTGACAGGGTTTTCACTATGCCCTGTGGTGGCAAGTGTTTGCAGCTTTTGGAAAGGAAGGCTGCCTATAGGCAGACGTCACTACTAGGTGTAGTCCAGCTGCTGATCTTGTGCTGTTCTTCCCTCCCCCAGGTAGCAAAGTGGCTTCAATCAGAAAACACATCACCTTGTTACCTGCTTAGGTAGAGCCAGGGAGGTTTTCATGCCAATCCAGCCCCCATCCATTTGGTATCCCTGACCCAATCCTGTTGTTCCTGCCATACCTTCCTCTGCATCTCTCTGTTCTTCCTCCTTCGGAACCTATGAAATATTTGTTTCCTCTCAGGGAAAAGTACTTGGAACCTTTGTTGTTATCCCCAGCCTGTAACTTATAGTATGACAATGAACTCCGTAATTATAGACACAGGGATTGATTATTTGAAATGTACTATTTCTCCACCACAAGGTTCAAAAACTTCCTTAGGATATTAAATAACCAAAATTGCCTTTCTTGCCCTTGGTCTAGATGTACCTGTGTGTGTGTGTGTGTGTGTGT